GGAACTTTGGGGGAAGTGAAGGTATGTGGGGGTAATAATTATGGTTGTGGCTGATTCATAATAAAAAGAGTAGTAAAAGAAAATCGTTCCACTTTATGACAGGCTGTCCATGATTGTGGCAAAGGAGACAACAGGGGTTAATTTGTTGTTACATATTTTTCAGATACTCAAGGCTGGGGGGTGAGTCCACGAGGAGCAGGCTATCTCTTTGGTTCAGATGTTGTAGCACAATTTAACGACACAAATGGCATAGACATGATATGCCGAGCACATCAGCTGGTCATGGAAGGATACAAATGGCATTTTAACAACACAGTTCTAACCGTTTGGTCAGCACCCAACTATTGTTACAGGTTAGTTTATCAGAAAATTCAATCCAGTGCTGCTGGGAATTTGTGATGTTCACTATAGTATTGTTTTGTGGAATGTATCTACACATAGATGGCTCCATAAATGCTCAGACCCCAAGGAATCAATGTGTAATCTATATGCCCTCACATGATATAATCACAGTTTGATTTACTCTGGGAAAGCAAAGATACTGTACCAGACCAAAGAATGCATTGTAATTTGGGTCCAAAAGAGTTATTATATCCATACATAGACCTCATTAATGTGGTTCTTTTCTTTTCCCAGATGTGGTAATGTTGCAGCTATTTTAGAACTGGATGAAAATCTGAAACGGGACTTCACAATATTTGAGGCAGCACCGCAGGAGAGTCGAGGCATACCAGCAAAGAAGCCTCAAGCAGACTACTTCCTTTAGGATTTTTCTTTAGAAAAGTTGCAGTATTGCTGTGTAGGATATCTGTCACTATCATACTGTGAATCAACTTTAGAACCTACACTTGCTGTTTTGGCACAAGGTGCTACGAGACTTATGGGCATGGTATGATTCATTATTTTTTATTTATTTTTATTTTTTCATGTTTATGTTAATAATTTAATGATTTTGACTATCAATATTATTTGTATTTTTATTGTTAGTATGAATATTTCATTAATTTGGTTATCATATGAACATCTTATTACGTTTTTCCCATTCTGTTTATTGTTGAAATTGCTTTTGATAATTCTTATTATTATCATTGTTATAATTTTTTTTTCCTCTTTTTAACTTTGTTTTCTTCTCTTTTAGTATATTTCAATTATCATAGCTATTATTTTTTATATTTAGTATTATTTTTGTATTTACTATTTTTATCAGTCCTTATTTTATTAGAAAGTCAGTAAAACCATTTTAGGAATTATTGCTATCAGAGGACCCATCATAAGTAATTATTGGGGGAATAGATGTCACAGATATTCGTAAAGGTTATTTTGGTGACAACTGAATATTAAAACATTTACTTGCTCACATGTTACTGTCTTTTTTATGATGAGTGAACTACATGGATTCTTTCCTACCTATATTAATGAATGCTTAGGATATGTAGTTGAAATATTCAGTGTGCATCGTAGAATGGTGTAAGCACAGTTGTTTCTAAATTCTCACAGTGAGAGAATAGACATGAAAATGTGCATTTTTTGAAATGATTTCCACATGAAAAAGACCCTTCTAGCCTATCCCTGACCAGTTGAATCTGTATATAGCAGGTACGAATAATCAAAGGTTCAGGCCTAGGGCAAATTGTTGGCCTGTAATTGTATGTATGTACACATGTACTCACATGGATGTATGTGTTTGTGTGTGTTGGTTGTATGTATGTGGGCATGTTCCATCAACACTCATTTCCATGTTAGATGACCTTGGAGTGCATACTTGGTATATCAAACTTGGTAGAATTGAAATTTGTAGGTTTTCCCCCCCACACACAAAATATGAGATTTGGAAAGGAGGCTTTCTTGAGGTATTTGCTAAGGTCGCTTATGTTTTCAAGTTTACTTATTAACGAAATGTATTTCTTGTGCGGTGTTGAATCAGACTGGAAAAGTCTTACATTTGCTCTCAGAAGAATACATCCTGTCTACAGCAGTACAGTTCTAGCCATTTTTATACCAAGACACCCTCAGGTTGTTTTAGGTGTCACTGGGAAACAATGTGACATGAACTCCTTATGAGTCAGTTTGGTGCACTGAGGTGAAGCTTCACCAGAAGTGACTCATCTTTTACTGTCATCTGTACATGAAGCATAGTCCATTATTCATCCAGGGTCCTTGATTGTCATAGGTCATTGCAATTTTTTGCAAACATGAAATGTGAATGCATTATCTTTAGAAATTATTTGAAAACTTTCTTTCCCTCCATTTTATTATCAGATGTGCAGATTTGTGCAGAAAAGTATATATATGTATATATCCACTTCTTCAGAAGTCTTGATTCTTTTTCAGTGAAGCTACTTTAAAGAAAGCAGAAAAAATCACCAAGACTCAGGTGTTACAAACTGACTGTCCTAAATCATTTACGTTGTTCATACTGAGTAATGTTGCCTGCACTGTCTAGAGACTGAGGGTCATTTTGAACACATGACTAAGTATCAGCTGCAGTGTATCCCATTCAACCAAACTACTCATGAATCATTACAGATATTGAAGTATCTCAGTGGCTTGTATCAGATGGTTCTGTTTCAGTCTTCTGGCAGTGTTGGAAGTGGATTGAAAGCCTAACGCATTATGTTGGTCACTTTCCATCTTGAAACACTGATTTGGGGGGAAAGCAGATAAGTAAAGATTTTCTTATGATTAATGTTGATATATTGTGTATGAAAATATTCAGAGGAAAATGAAAAGAATCCAAGCATGTAGTTTGAAAAACTGTGCAGACTTTGTTGAGCAATTGGGAAAGAGTTCCTGAAAATATTCTGACTTCTTGTCAATATCTACATATGTAATTATCTACAGCTGTAGGCAGTAAAATTTGGTGGAAATTGTGTGCAGAAATTTATTTTTTTGCAGACTACATACATTCTCTTGAAATGCCATTTTTTATATATATACTTGTGACATACTTGATGCTCTGTCACTTTGTGATGTAATCTACTGGTATTTTAGTAACTTTTCATTATAAATATTGTACAAATATTCCTAAAGAGGAAAAGGCTCTGATAAAGCAAAAGAATTCTAGCAGGGAAGAGGACATTTAGTATTTTCCTGTAGTTCTTTGGTTCGTAAAGGAGAAGTAGATTGTCCATTAATTTATAGACAATATAAGAAGATAATTGTTTAAAGTAGATTATCCATTAAATTGGATGCAGTATATGAGAAAACTCCTGTAATTTTCATAGGATCTGTGAGAATCTGTAAAATTCTTTAAATGAAGTTTAGAAAGTGCTCTCTTTCATGTTCTTGTCTTTTGCTTTACTTCTTTTTTCTTTTTTTCCACTATTGGTACAATAAGTGATACTAGCCAATATATGGAAAATAGATGATATTACATTTCGTATGGTCAAACTGACTGAAATGTAGTCAGCCATTTACGTTAAGATGAATTTCAGAATGAAACTAGGTTTTTGTTTCCCATGCCACTGTATTTTATTTATTATTTTTTTTTTTCCTGGGTACAGTTATCTTCTGTGAACTTCAAGATGTTTCGTTTTCTTTTTCTGTTTTTCATTTTTGTGCTGCTTAATTTTACAAGCAAGACTAAGAGAATAGAAAACCAACATAGGGAGATTTATTGTTTTCACCGAGGTTTTGAACCTGTGTCTAGAACTTACATGTAAGGATGTGGAAGTGCATGTTTGCATGCATGTGTCATACATTATATTGCTATTTAGTAATTTTTGAATCAGTAATCAGATGAGAATATTTGCAATGGAAACAAACCAGTCTCCGAAATGTGACATCCTCCAAAACAAATTCCTTTGTCTTCATCAAACTCTTTTTTTTAATGTTCTCGTCTAGGATGTACCTGGCATGGGAGATAGGATAGGTTTACCATCATGACAGGATGATTTTCTGGCAGTGATGGATGGCAAGTAAAGAAATAGAAAAGCTTTCAGATATGGTAGTCTCAGCACAGGATGAAAATGGAAAGTTCACATGTGTCTGATCTTTGAAGGTTTTATCATATTGTATGAATCTTTATCATGACTACAACAAAGGGCGGCACGGCATTCACGAAATTCTTGACCACTGGGATGATGTGTACAGTACAAAAGATGTGTAGCTCATATTTCACATTTATTTTTTTCTTTTCCTAAGAAAAAAATGTCAAAGATTAATAAAGAGGATCATCTGGTGGCTCTTCTCTTTATTATTTTCCATTTCTTGATTATGGTTATTTGTATCCTTACAAGAATTTTAAAAGTTTTTGTCTGTATAAATAGTCAGCTCCAAGATAATCCCTAATAAATGATTATATTCTCCCATGTGATGTGCATTGAAGAACTACAATACATATGAATAAATTTTTTTTTATTTTTACTGCATTTTTATTTGTGATTTTAAACCCATAATGTATAAAGAAGGGAATGCTAAATACTGTTTACCTTTTATTAAATAAACAAGAGAAAACTTTATAACATTGTGTTTACTAAATTTTCAAAGGTTTAGATCTCTTGGTTTCCCTACCCTTACCTTGGGCCTCAGCCTTTGATTCCACTAATTTTGCATCATCTTTTTTCCTTCCATTTTCTTTTCTTCTTCAACCCTTCCTGCTATCCACTTCCTAAGGTGTGAGGCTAACTCTGTGCCAGTCATGAACAGCCTAGGGGAACCATGGCATGTATTCCCGTTTAGTTGTTCAGCCCCTTACCTAAGGACAAGTCCGACATGTAAAACTGAGCCTCGCCCGGGCTGTGAGGGGAGCCTGGCCTGTGCCGACTATTGGACTCGATCAAAGTGTGTCGGCTAGTGCTGACGTGATAGAACTTAGTCCTTGCCCACTGTGGTGCCCAGGCGCAGCAGTAACCTCCAGCCGACAATTGCAACTTTTCGCACCTGGGCGGGCCGCAAACCGCCGACCCTTTGGATGAGAGGCTGACACGTTACTATTGCACTAGCCTAGAGGCTGACACGTAGCATAAGAGGCTAAGCCCTTATCTGAGGGGTGGACAGGT